GGTTCCGGAGGGAGCAAAGGTCTGAAAACCGCAGTTTGGAGACGGTCCCGGGTAGGTCGTTCAAGGGAAGTGCACCTTGAGTGATTGAAAGAAGAGGAGAATGTAGGCAAAAAGAATAAGATACAGTAGAAAAGACAAATTTTATTGCAATCAGGGAAAGACAAGAAGATTTCCTAGTTAGGGCAACGCAAGAACCAAGTGGAAACGTTTTGTCGATAACATTTGTGACAGATGTACGGAGGGAATTTGAAAACGTAGTAGTCTTCCTGTTTCCCTAACGTTGGCAATTTTTGCTATTTCGGTTCTCATAGTGGATGACAGATCACAAGGCATTGATTTATGGGTAAGATAGCATCATGGATTTTTTCGTAGCCGATTTCTTTAAGGCGTTCCCATTAATTAAGCCTAGCTTGGATCACGTTCTAGTACTGCTTCTTCTTAAAGGTAGCCAGTCAAACAAATTGAACGGAAAGATATCATGGCATAGTCTGGCTAGGGTCACATTCTTGATAGGATATAGCAGTGCTGTAGTCGACTAATTGTAAGTGAAGATTTCAGGCTCTGAGCTATTTTCAGGGCTCTGAAAAAATGAGGTTTTCTGAACCTGTAATCGCAAATGATGCGGTGTAGGATCAACATGGATCGCATCTAGATTGTATAGTTGTCTTTCGAGGTTCAAGTCTCCACATTGGTGGCTTGGTAATACACAACATGACAAAAAAGGGAGGTAAATATTCAGCATCATAGGGCCTGGCTTTGAAACCTGTGAGAATTTTCTGTAGAATATGCGCTATTGGCTGGTTTATGCAAAATATATGACGACGGAATGGGAACAACCGTAGTCTCATGAATTGTCTTCGAGTTTCGTTTTCATTGAATACTTCAATACAAAGTGCGTGTGCGAAGTCCGCATCTGTACTTTTTCCATGGTAATTGGCCTGAGAACTTGCCTCGACTAAGTGAGGTCGCCTCCTCTCAATACCACCATCTATACTTACGTCCGGGTTTTTTTTCTCTGCACTGGCCATCCGTTTCAATCTTAACTACCGTACCAATTGCGATGGGCAAGAGAATCGCCGCGCCGTTGCGGCGACCACCATGTATGTCGGTTTGGTGATGCACTAAGGACGATGAGCGTCATAATGTTCGGCGCTTTTTACTGCGCTGACCGCATGCCCGCATGAAAAAAGCCAACAATTCAGTTGCGGCTCTTGTTTGAGTGCGATTCGAACGGTACGCGATTTAATGTCGTATAATTGTTACGCACAAGACAGTCGGTTGGTGGTAATCGTGAGCGATTCTTCGGAAAGATTTACGTCTTTGGACAAATCGATGGATCCGATTCTTCAAGATGGCAAGGCTTCAGAGGGGTGGAAGAGGCTTTATCTGGGTTCATCAGCGGATTTGGTGCTATGTGGATGCTACCGAAGGCCATGCTTGCGGTTGCTGGTTCAGAGACCACTTTGTGTGTTAATTACGGCCATCTTCCACATGACTAAGATCAAGATCGCGATAGTGGTCCAGTGGTGTCGGCGCGACTTTCTGCTGTCGTTGCGAATCGTGGAAATCGCGTTGATTCGTCGCCGGCGACGTTAGCTGTAAGGCGCCGACTATGCGTCTCATCATAAGCTGTTGTGACGTTAATTCGTTGATGGGAAACAGAGGAGCGAGCACGTCGTCACCTTGTCGGATTACGGTTTCTGTGCGCGCCGCAGCGACCGGAGATTGGAACAGATGATGTGAGGGCAGTAACTGTAAGACTGCATAGCATAGAGCATATCGTTGGAGATACGCAGATAATACAGAGCCGGTGGTTGTCGGCGTGGTTAGCACACACATCAGAGGGCCGGAGCGATCTAAGCCGAATATCTTTTCCGGTCGATTGCTGCGCTTTCTGAGAGTATCTGATTGCACGACCCGGCCCAGAGCTAATAGTGGTGGGGAGCGACGCGTCAAGTTGGCGGCCGTGTTATTCGGAAATATCTCATGGGATCTGTGATCCTTAGTCGTTTTTAATCTGAGTAAAACTTAAAGGTCATGCGCTGCAGAATGACCTTAACGCTGTTCTGATTCGGTGGGTATTCGCTATCACTGTAACGTCCAACTCTAGCTTAATGTCAGGTTTCGTTACGGGTTTTCTGGAATATTTCCGCTGGGCTATTGCAGATACGGGGCACTGTGGTGGCACTGCATTTAAAAAGCGTCATCTCTATTTGTTGAAAACGAGTTTAAGCCCCAGGCGGTGGAGGAGAGACTACAGGGTGCGTGAGCGAATTTCATTTTCCGAAAGTTCGTGCTCTTCTTGAGCTTGGTGTTGGAGGATGTCACGAATATTGCGGGAGCACCTACGCCGTTGCCTCTACAATTGCCTCTATACATCAATGGATAACCCAGACAACTTCCATACCTGTCGAGTTCCTTTGAAGCTCGCTAGAACGCCAACGCCAGCAACAATAAAGAAGAGGAGTAGGAGCGTGTTGGACGAGGAATTCCAGGATAAAAAAGAAGGGAAGTAGGAGCATGCTGAACGAGGACGTCCAAGATAAAAACATATTCCCTATGATAACGTGGTCTGGTTGCAAAGGTTTCACTGAGGCCGACCCTTCTGCCTAATTTTGGTTTTGTCTGGCAACGTCAATTTCAAATAGGTCTAGCATATCACCTTCTTAATCTACCACTGTGTAGGCATTTTGGTCAGGCAGAGTAGAACTCCAAATGCTTGAAAGGGCTTAGGCCTACTTCTGAGCGTTAGTTGGAGTTGTTGCAGAATCTGAAACGATAAGGTGGCCACTTCTTTTCGTTTAGGCCTTGGATGGCTTCACTAAATTACGGCTATCAAGAAGATTCGCAAGCTGTTTTGTGGTTATTGTTTTGGATATTTCCATTTTCTACGTCAAAAAGCAGCGTCGTTCAGTAGGGGCTCGTACTCCTGTCCACAACCCTTTTTCTTTGCGAGTCAGAATGGTTCTTGACTGGCGTGGCTTCCGTGTTGTATGACATCTGTCAGCGTTGGCATGTCGTCGAATCTGTCGACGATAGTTGATCGAGGAAAAGTCACTACGAAATGTTTGTCATCGTGACTACGGTAGCTCGTCGTTGATAGCCCCGTCGTCTTGTCGGTAGCGACAGCGGATGGACCGGTTACACCACTAACAAGCGTCTATAGGATGTTGACATTGCACGGTGAGCGGATATACCGTAACGTCACGTTCGACACGGCGGTTCCATTCCGTCAAGCGATGTGAAGCGGTGAAGTTGTGCTGTAATACCGTCAAATTTTGAGAAGAAAGCTGATTTTGTTGAGGTGAATCTTTCCCAGATAGGGAAGGAAATTCCTCTGTTGGTGGGAGATTGGATGAGGTGGTCACATTCATTGAAGATGTCTTTTTTATATAGCAAATTAATTTCGGCCTGTGATTGGGCCCTGAATTATGGCTCAGTTCCTGCACACCTGCTTAGCGGTGGCCAGGGGTGCTGGAGAATCGGGATGGAAAACAGGTTGTACTTTTCTGATGCGTCTTCAATTCCCCCGCCCCCACCTTCATTCCTGAGGCGATTGCTCATTTATCGAAGGCTACCTCAACTTTCAACACTCAGAAGTAAGGCTGATAGTGGTTCCTCAAAACAAGCGGGACAAACGCGCATTTTCAATTGTTTTGTCTGGAATATTCCGTGAATAGGGGAGTTTCAGACGCGGTTTTGCGTGGCAGCTCCGCCCGTAGTGTTTCAATGTGTTCGATCCTTGAGTCCAAGGTTGATCTGGTAACAATGAATCTGAACCGCAGGGATTACCGCGTTGTATTCAGCGTCGAACGAGACTTCTGTGATCTTGTTCTTACTGAATGCGCGTCGTCTAAGTCAATGCTATCCGATTAATGGTGCTACGATAGTCGCGAAGTGGATGAAGGCGATCGGTCGTCTTCTAGATGAATGCAGTGGCCGACGTAAGAGGATCCACTAGGCGACAATGGGGCGATAAGCGTGCGATTATCGCCGCCGTCTTCGTCGCGGAAAATAGGCTTCCACTGTGATGACGATTGCCGCTGCTGAAGACGAGACGGACAAGAGCACTATTTGCGCACAGCACATCGAGTGCAGCGGATTAAATCCCTTACGATTCAACAACTTGATGAGTGCTGGGGACAGAAGAAGTTTTTTCCGAGCCAAAAATCGTTTCTTTCGGCCTTGCTTCGCTTCTCGTGAATTTTCATTGAATGAATGAGTATGAATTATTCATTTTTGGGCACCCTCGGTTGGCTAGATATACCTGATATTTTCCCAGGGACAGGTAGTTACTTTAAAAACAGTTTCGAAGAGTTTTATGGGCGGCAAGCTCTTAACTAGAAGGTATTCTTGGATCAGCATAACGTTGAACGGGAACTTTCGCCCCAGGATCAAACTGGTGTGGTTCTTGCACACGAATGTAATGTATTGGTGCAAAGTGGGCCGGCAGTGAAGAAAAAAGGAAAAGAATCCGTCGAAAACGCTCAGGTTAAAGGCTCACTCACCTTCCTAATCGGCTGTGCTAAGGGAATGAGAGACTAAGCGCGGAGAGGAGAGTATGAGGCGAGAGAGCGCATCAGATGACAAGAATGAACGAGGCAAATGAGGCGCACCAGACAACAGTCTGAATACTGGGCAGCTGTGCACCCAGATGGCAAAATACCTTGGCATCTTACCAGACTGATATCACTCCACGGAAGCGCCTTCAACTGTGACCTCGGATAGGGGTTGCTATATCTACAAAACCGAGGCGAAATGGTTTACCACGACCTTGCCCTGGGTTGGTGCCTCTTAAGGTCGAGTCCGTATTCCTCCTGGGCAGGAGTTATTCACGAGAGCAAGACTTCTTCTCGCTTCATTCCTCTTTGCAAGCTATGCGCCTTACCATTCCAGAAGTTTGTGCCACGAGCGAGACGAACATGTTGCCAAATTGGCTTTCTATTGCCAAAATTGCCCTTAACTTTTTCGCGAATTAAATGAAGCAAGAACCAGAGAGCGCCAGAAATGAATCTTCGAACTAGGCGATATCAAGTCCGATTGAAAGCGAGGAATTAAGCCAATCATTCTTGGAAATGAAGGGGCTGCCTGCTGCCTGAAGATCGTGTTACTATGCAAAAAATACGACGATAAGAATTTCGGTGTATTTCAGGATAAACCGCGTCACGAAGCGTAGGAAAACCGAAGGATGTGAAGGAGGCACCCGATTCTGAAACAAGCGGTCGGGGACCGAACACCAAGCAAATGGACTGGTTGAAAGCGTGTCGCAAAGGCGACTTGGCAGAATGCAAAAAGCTTCTGGAAGCAGATGTGAGTCCTGAAGCTTTACAGGTGTGGAATAGCGGGCTATATTGATATATGTACCAAATTCAGTCAGATCTCTGCACTACGTGCCACCGCATTACCTGAACTACTCGGCTGTACATATAGCAACCTTAGGACGACATTATGAGCTGTTACGATTTTAAGAGTAAAAATGCCAATTTCAATGCAACAACTAGGGTGAGTTGGATTTAGTTTTGGTTTCGTTTTGCGTTCTATAGCGGTGATACTCGGCGATACGTAAAGTGAAGAAATATGGAAGAGTTCGGAGGAAAGCAGGCATGAATGCTGTGAAAGTTGCCGAGCATAGTCCCAGCTTTATAACTTGTGTCTGTCTTCCGTGGGAGTTCTTATTTACCGCACCGTTTAGTGAGAGTGTCTTAAAGGGTAGGATTCAGGACCCATGAATTGAGGGATTGAGTCTGAGTCGTGTTTTGTTATTTTGATTTTACCTTGCGTATAAGCCACCATTTCGTGAAGCCAGAATGCGCGGGTAAGCGCTTTACAGTATCAGGGTCACCACACCACGTCATTATTTATCATTGACCCAAACATTGGCTTTAGGCTTCGCTAGTCGGCGGCATCTAGCTATGAGTCCCGCGCGCGGGTGGACCTGGTCTCTGCGCCGGCCGCCAAGTCCTCATGTTTCGTGACCCGCAACTAATGTCCGTTTTTATTGTAACACGATTGAAAGATTTCCGGATGTTTTATGCTTCGTTAAAGTTATTCAGTATTTTTCAGACGGGGATATATCACACTTCATCTGGCAGCACAAAACCAGGATCACGAAACTGTACGGTTGCTGATAAGAGAGTTTGGTGAGCACTCATTCTTTATAATTCTTCATTAACGATATCTCTCCTATATTAACTGGGTCAGACTGGTAGTACCTTTTTCAATTTGAGGTCCCAATTAGTCCTACCGAACGGGTTGTTGAACTCCCCACGAACGTTACAGAGCTGAAATGATTGGCTTGGTTGCTATAGTTAAGAGTGGGACGCTTTTGGGGAGATCGTGGCTTTTAGTCTTTAAGGGTGTACACGCGCTATTCAGGAAAGGATGACTGAGTAAACTTGTAAATAAGTGTTATTGTAGGTGTGGGTATCCGTTGAAGATTTTTAGGGCCTATTAGTATCTCAGAAACCGGAAAAATGAAATAACGAAGGGGTCTATGAAGTAAGTCAGTGAATATTTGTTGAGGTACGCTCCGTGTGTTTTGGGCATGAGGTGTTAAGCTGAAAGTCGTTTTTTTTTCTGCGCATTCCGTTTTTACAACGGCTGGAAATGATTGAGTAATGTGAGAGGGGATTTACGAGTGTGCGGTGAGAGCTTCATTGATAAAAAACCAGAAAAGATGAGACAGACATCTGTCAAGAGAGAAAAGATGAGAGCAAACGCAAGAAAAAAAGTGGGGTGTTCAGAAACAACGGGATGGGGAACTTCAGGGAGGGTATCTCTGAGGGTTATATTAGGGTTAGTATTGACAGAAGTAGGTCATGCAAGCCCTACCAGGCTTAACCAATTACCCTTCTTTATTTATGCAGTTTTTGTGGAATTGTGCCCCTTGTGTGGTGTCATACGTCCAAAGTGGAGCTTTATCAAAGCGTTACCGAAGTCCTGAGAGCCAGATTGTCACAAGAGACTGCACCTGTCTGTTTGCAGGGATATATTACCTCGTCCTTCTGTTGTTTATCTAAGAAGCCCTTCGAGCTCTTTCATCGAGCCCAAAAACGACAAAGAGCTGATCTGCGATCGCCTTCTCACAGCGCTCAAGTGTTGTCCGAGATCATTCGAATGCGTTAATCGGCGCTGCTCTCATCGTCATCACCACCATCACCATATGTTTGCACACTGCGTCGACGCAGCGCGATAGCAGTGCTCCGGTTCGGTCTCTGAGCGAGCCGCCGCCGCCGTCGTCGCCGCTTCGATGGATGTGCCCCGGCGTATTGACAGTAACGGGTGCGCGCGTTAGCAAACAGATTAACACCGGTCAATCGCCCAGGCTACCGTACACGCCACCGTGTCAACGATGCAGTTCAACTTAAGGACTTATAGTACCGTCGCTCTGTGCCAGAATGATGAACAAACAATCGGATCGGCAAGCCTAATACTCCAAATTCGCTATGATTGATCGAACCGACGTTGATGTACACACAAACCCCGATCACTGCTCGAGAGTGCTCAAGTCAAAGGTGTGGGGTTCTAAGAGGAAGAAGGCCGCAATTCTCGTTTCACTACAAGGAAAGAATCTTAGGTCGCCATGGCCATTCAAGAAGAGATGTATACGCCTAGATGTGCCTTCGAACGCTGATCTCAAATCTACCTTCCAAATCTGCTAAACGATTCTCTGAACGGAGTTATGAAGCAAACAGCGCAACGGTAGTGGTCGGGACTCACAGTCAAAACGTCGTAGGATCGGTCCCTTATCGTGTTGCTGTTTTGCTTTCTTCAGAATACAGCTGAAACGGCTTTCACCAGCTTATTTAGCTGTATTCCCGAAGAAAGCATAACAGTGACACGATAGAGACCGATCCTTCCACGTTATGGCCTGT